GGATAAGAGTGGTGAGAGTGGATACCCTTATCTTCTTCTTATCTCAGAGGAAATGCTTTCCATTTTTCCATATTGTTTGTGATGCTTGTTGTGGGTTTGTCATTATAGCTTTTATTATGTTGTGACATGATCCTTCTACACCTAATTTGTACCATGAAGAGATGTTAAATTTTCTTAAATGCTTTTTTCTGCATCTATTGAGATGATTGATTTATATCCCTCATTCTACTGATGTGATATATTATATTTAGTGATTTGCATATATTGAACCATCATTATATCCAGGGAATGAAACCTATTTGATTATGGTGAATGACTCTTTTGATATGTTGTTGAATTCTATTGGCTCATTTTTTTTCTTCTTTGCATCTATGTTCATCAGGGTATTGGTCTGTTTTCTCTTTTTGCTATGTCTTTGATTTTGGTATTAGGATGATATTGGTCTCATAAAATGTGTTTGGAAGGGTTCCCTCCTGTTAATTATGTGGAATGATTTGAGAAGAATGGTATTCGTTCTTCCTTAAAAGTTTAGTCCCAACTCTTCATTAAGCAGTGACAGATATTTTCATGACCTGTATCAGTGGCTCTTATCAGACCTCAGAGTTGGTGCATGTAAAGTGAAGAGCCTAGGTCCAACACAGAGTAAGAGCTTTCACAATTTCATAGTCTGACCCCAACCTTTCTCAGGTTGCCCCATCCTTGGTTTGACTTTATATGACTCATACTCTCAGAATAGACCACTCACTCTTCCTAGCACTATTTCCATGGGTGCCCTCTGACAGTTCTTCTGCCCTCTCACCTCTGTCTGGCATATACCTCAAAGCATGGCTCAAATGGCATCCTCCTCCTTGGAGGCCTCCTAGGTCCCTTTCACAGTTCTTCTGCTTTCCTCCCATTCTGCCCTGTGCATTTTCTTGAACTTGTGTGTGACTCCTTTGATTTCTCAAATTTTGTGAAGGTGAAAGAATTTTTGTCATTCTTAGGACTGCTATGATCCCTAGCATTGTGTTCTGAACATGGAACCCACTCAATATTTGTTGAAATGAGAGAAAATATTTTTTTTTTTCCTGGTATAGGACATAGAATTCCACTCATGGAGTAGTGTGTTAATCTTTCTTCCAAATAAATGTGACTAGTGGGTTGATTCTTTTTTCATTTTTAGATCCTGAAGTTAAAGGGCAGTTAAAAATAGGCCTGGATCTCAGGATAGTCTGCTTCCATATTCATGTTGCTCCCCTTTTCTTGGTGAGTAAAGAACCATCACCATTTATGTAGGCGTTAACATCCTGAGCTCTCTAATCCTGGCTACTGTGTATATTTCTTTCTGTGTAGACAAAACAAGATCTATAGGGCATAATTTCTTGTCTCTCTTACCATATGGCTGACAATAGCCTTGGAGATAAAAAAAATACATGTACATTTACATTCAAATTTCATCTAGTAATTTCTTTTACTGTTAGTTTTTCTTTTACTTCCAGGTAAAAGTAGAGATCACTCTCATGGAATGCTTATTACAATAATTGTTTATGGTATTGGTACCATCTGTCTCTGATGTTATGATTCTCTTAAACATAAAATTTTTCAACATTAACCAAACAGCTGCTATGGGTGATGGCACATATTTCAGGGCCCCACAGGTTCTAAGCATATGCTGTACCACTGAGCCCAACCCTGAGCCAGACCTTGAATTCTCTAGGCCCAGGTAACCCTCCTGTCTCAGCCTCCCAGGTAGTTAGGACAATACTTGTGTACCAGTACACCTGACTTCTCTTTCTAAAATCACTTAGAAAAACTAAATTTTCCCAATTTTGAGGAGGTTATAGAAAAGCAGGTTCTAGAAAAGAGATTTAAATAGAATGGCTGTAGCAGAGTAATATTACATTGTACATTTTTAATATTTTTGTATATATGAAAGTGCTCTGGATCAGCTGTTCATAAAGATTTTAAGATCTAACAAATTTATCTGGAAAGCTGTTATTAGATAACTAACATCTTAAAACAATACTTTTCCATTGTCCAGAGTCATGAGATGAGCAACCTTGTGATAAACAAACTTGGGGACATATGCCATCTTTTCTTTGGGAGCTAATTTGCTTTTGCTTGTATTTATTTGGTACTATGTAGAAACTGAGTCTCATAGAAAGGGAATCTGAAGCTAAGTTGATGAAGGATTCTGTAGATTTGGGTGGCAGAGTTAGTTTGAGAACTGGTTCCCCTAATAACAGTGAGAATGGTGGACATACCTTAAGCATGGGCTCTGGGTCAACTTTTGTCCACAGCATTTATTAACACCCACTCACCTAGTTTTCACAACATGCCCAACATATATATTACTATACAATTTAAGCATTAGGAAACTGAGGCCAGAGGGGTCAATGCCCATATTCTTATAGAGCTATCTACCTGAGAATTTACTACAATGGGTCTTTGTCTATAGCTAAAACTGAGAAAAGGCCTTAAAAAAACTATAAGTTTCTTTCTGTATACCATTTATTGCCTTTGTGGTGTTCTGGCTATTATTCACCCCACATCTGTCTAAAATAATTTTTTTTTTTTACATTTTGGTATTTATTCATGCCCAATCTTTCAGACTTCTAGACATTTTCATTCTTTAACTTCATCTCTATATAATTAAAGTACAGGAACCAGAGAGGTTCATGCTATATGTCACCCACAGCCTAGTCTCCCAAGGTGCAACCTTGTGATAAACAAACTTGGGGACATATGTCATCCATCTGCCAGTGAGGCCAAGGCCTATGTGCTTTATGGGAGTGCCCTTGGGTGGTGGAGGAGGGGTGCTTGGGGGAGGGGCAACATATTCCTGACAAGGCAACTCATTCTTGGGAGGTAGGACATTGGAATTGGAGCACCAGTCCACCTGCCACCTTGCCCTGTGACCCTAGGAAGGAACAGAGTTCAGAAGAAAACAACTGCAACTGGAGCCTTTTCTCCATTTGTTTATGGTTTATCAGTCACAATGGACCCCTTCTCACAGTTTTTGGGTCTCAGGACTCCCCAGAGTCCTTTGTTCATCAGCTCAGGGCCTCAGGCTCCAACCTCAGTACAAGATCTCACACCCTCTTCTGTGTTCCCTGACCCTCATTCAAATGCTAAGCACACGGTGGGACTGGTGACCCTGAAGGAGAGTCAGCAGAGTGCCTCTGAATCCCCAAGGTCATCCCCACTCTGGTCACTTCTTCCTTCCTCAGTTACATGCTCTTGTCTGTCTCACATGGGTAATTGCCTCCAAGGAGACTGCAGGGCTGGCCTCTGAGCTGACTGACACCCGGTTGCAAAAGAAATCATCTTTCCTCTATGTTGGCACAAGAAAGAAAGTCCTTAAATTGTGATCACACTATGCAAAAGTGTTCTTTCTCTGAGAGGAGATGGTGGGCCCGAGCAGGGGAGAGTGCTGAGCAGCTCTCTTTCATTTATGGCTGCATCTGATCCACCTTTTCAGCACACAGCAAATGTTCATGCTGAACAGAACGCAAGCATCAAAGGACCAGACCTCCTCACCCCCCTCCAAAATTCCTCAGCCTTTGTTGTCCCTGGAGCTGGGTGGCTATTGAACTTTGCAGACCTGCTGGGCCTGGAAAGTGAAAACACCCTCCGGAGCCAGCAGGGGTGGTGCAGTGTGCCTGGGAGATAGGGCTGTGCATCCAAAGGCCCGGCGGTTGCCATGGCACCCTGACACCGAGATCATTCCTTATGAATGTCACTGGGGTCTGTGACTAAAGTTGTTTATGAGTCAAAAGTCTCATGGAACTACAGGAGGAAAGGATGACCGCACCACGGCAGGCTGTGGGAAAGAAGGATGCTCCCCCTCCTCTGGTTTGCTGAGCCTGATGGTCTTTAAATAGGACATGTGGAGCAAGGCGAGCCCAACAGGCTGACATTTCATTCGTCACTATGCATGAGACAGTGAGGGAGAAGTAGTATTTTAAATCATATACTGGCCTGCTGAAGATTTGAAATACGACAGTCCCGTGCTTTGTGGCTCAGCAAGCAGTGTGGACTCATCTCTGAGAGGCCCCTGAGAGGCTGCCTCCTGACCGCTTCCTTATTCTTTTTCCTTTGTTCCTCCAGCATGAAGGGTTACCAGTTTTCAAACTATCGCCTTTGGATCCAAGGGAACAGATAAGGTCACGGGCACCTCCTCTTTCCTTACAGAGAAGTTTTAAATAGCAGTGATCATTGTTACGGCCATGATATGGTTGTATAAAGATGCCCAACTGAAGTGTGTGAAAATCGTAGCAAAGAAAGGCAAAAAAATGACAGCTACAAGGGGGAAGATATGTAGATTGGGCTATTATTTCTGAGACATTTCCCTACCCTGGGAAAAGAACGTCCCTCTTGATACTTGGGGAATGATGTTATGAGAGATTTCTCCTTACAATATGAGGAAAGAGAAGGAAAAGAAATGGGGGTGCAGAGGCCTCACTTTTTTCCTCCCACTTAATGGGACATAAGGGCCAAGGTGTGTGTGTGTGTGGGGGGTCCCTGAAAAAGAACCAGAAAGGGAAGAGGGACAGATGGAGGACCTGGGACACTTGGGGGAAAGTTACATGTGCACACTACTTAAACCTTGCACTTGAAATTCAGATCTGTTTTGAAAAGTTAGAACATGTTGCTTACATTCATGTCAGAAGAAATGCAACTTGTTTTTGAAAAAGAATTCCCTGTTATATACTTTTATGGGTCTTGCTCCCCATGTGCATTGAAAATATTATCCTTTTAGCAAGGAAGACTTGTAGAAAGCTTTTGAGGACCATGGGAAGAAAGGATGACCACTCCCCAGCAGGCTGGGGGAGATGAGGATGGATTTTTCTGGGGCCCACGTGTTCCCCCTCCCCTGGTTTGCTAAGGAAGATGGTCTTCACTTTGGACATGTGGAGCAAGGCAAGCTGAATGGGCCGACAGTGAGACACGTCTCGGCCCCACTCCGCCTCAAGGGTCCCTTCCACCCCCAATATGTGATATTGACAGAAGCTTCTTACCTCTGACACAGTGCAGTTCAGCTGGAAGATCTGCCCTTCTCCTTCCACCTGCCGTACACAGAGTTTGCAAACCAGCTCCACTGTGTTCAGGCTAAATCTTTCCAGAGTGAAGGTGCAGTGGAGGTTTCTTTGAGACCCACTCCAGATATGGTAAAAAGGAATTTCCTAAAGGATATGAAAGTGTTAATCACAAATGAGGGATAATTGTACCTATTAGACACTCTGCAGGCAGGTGCTCGTCTCAGTATTCCACAGAGTATCTCACTTAACCCTCATAATAGCCCTATGTGCAAGCATGTCCCCCTTTCACATGAAGAAACTGAGGCCCAGAGAGGTCAGATAATTCACTCACAGTCACACAGCTAGTAAGTGGCAGAGTTGAGATTTGATCCCAGGAAGTCATCCTTCAGAATCCACATACCTGACCAGTCTGCCACAGTCTCTCATTTACAAAAATATAAAGCCATTGTAAATGATACTTTTTTAATGTTTAAAAAATTCCCAAAATAAAATCTACACACGCCATCATTGCTCATTAAAAGGAATCCCTGCCGTGACATTCTGGAGAAGAGCAAAGAAAGCCCAAAGGAGAACGTGCTGACACTGTTCTCTTTCATGCCTCTGTCCTTCCTCTGCGCAGGACAGGGGGCAGCCAAAATTCCCTACAGTTGAAAACTGTAGACTCATTTAGCTGTCCCAAAAAAGTCCCTGGCCTAAAAAGCACCAAATGTCTAACAGGTATTAATTCTCTAAAAGTTTGAGCACCTTAAAGAACCCATCTTAGAATCTTGTTTCAACAAAGTTGATTGATACATTAAAAATTGGAGAACATGGTGATTAAGGGCAGAGGTTCTGATGCCAAATCCAGTGTGATTGACAACATCCTGCCCTTGTTGACTTGATAATTTGGGGCCAGTTACTTAACCTTTTCACGCCCCAGTTTCCTCATCTGTAAAAGAGTGGGCAGTGGATTACTTAAGTCATGAACCTGCTAGGTTCACCGAAATAAGCCAAGTGCATAAGAGAGTGTTTGCAGGATAGTAAGTGTTTTCAGTTATGATTATACCAGGGAAATTGTTTATGAAAGGGAAGAATTGTGGAATTTTAAGAATGAAGAAAGTGAGCAAAGGAAGAGATGTTATGGGAAGTCAAAGTCTCATCTAACAGGGCTGAACTATGGGTAAGGGTGAAGTCTGCAACCCTCACCCATGCTCCTGTTTCTTAACAAAGAAGTAGATTTGCTTCTCTTAATCTATGTGTAAGTACTTGACATACGAAAGTAAGAAGGGAGAGAAAAGGAAATTCCAGTCCTTCTAGTTATGTTCATTGACTTATTTCAGGAACTAGCCACCAGATCGGCAGCAACACTGGGGTTGGTTGGGTTTGCATGTGTGCAGATGTGGATTCACAGCTTTTCTGACTGCGTCTGCATCTCATGGGCAGGGTTGAGGTCTGTGGTCCAGCAGGGCATCAAGTCTCAGAGTGCACAGGCTGACTGACAGAGGAGGAGGTGAAAACCCCAGAGTCCTGCCATTTTTCCACGGGTACCTCCAATGAGATGAACCAGTATCTTTATGCCTGTGACTTAATAAAATCCTGACTAAGTTTTACTTTACATGCCATTTCAATTCCCAAATTGAGTTTCCTTCTAAGTTTTCAATGTAAGGGTACTGTCCTAGCAAGGCTGAAGACAAATTTGTGTCTCAAGGGGTATGATGTCCTCTATTATTCCTATGAGTGCCTTTGAAGTTGTTTTAATTCAATGAATTCCATATGAAAATTAATTGAAATAAAATTGAAGTGCTCTTATTTATTACAAATACAACAAAGGTAATATAATTATAAGGATAATTGTTTTGAAAAGCATTCCTTCAAATATGCCTATCAGCTATTTTATGAAAATCCTGAATGATCCCAAACTCTTTTTTTTTTTTTTTTTTTTTTGGTACTAGGGATTGAATCCAAGGATGCTTAACCACTGAGCCACACCCCCAGCACTTTTTAATATTTTATTAGAGATAGGGTCTCGCTGAGTTGCTAAGTGCTTTGCTAAGTTGCTGAGGCTGGCTCTGAACTTACAATCCTCCTGCCTCAGCCTCCCAGGCCAATGGGATTACAGGTGTGTGCTATAGCACCCAGCAGATCCCAAACTCTTGATGAAACAAGTACTAACATAAAAGCATTTTCAAGAAAGGGGATTGGTTATGCCTACATAACTTCGGTTATTTTTCTTCTAGCTGTCTCCAAGCCTTTAGTTCAGCGTGGTAAACTTACCTGATATTTAGCCAGCAATTTGCTCTTCCAGAGGGAATGGACAACGTCATGAATGGATAGGCGCAAATTGTGGGTACTTCCTTTAAAATGAAGTGCCTTGGGTTCCTCCAGAAGCTGTCCTCCCATCTGTCTCTCAAGTTGTAAAACTTCCTGCAACGACATGCCCCAAACCAAGTCGCATTGTAGAATTGTCTCACTTTTATCTGTCCTTTTATTAAAAGTGTGTTTCATCTTTGTGCCTCCTGAGCAGCAACCCTGGTTTAAGCAACAGCATGAGCAGCTACTTCTATAGCCCTAACCCTCACACTGAGGCCCATGCCATTTTGTATGGGACTGGGCCCTACTAACAAACTGTTTCTGCAATTTATGTCAAATTACTCAGAAGCAAATGCAGTTCAGTCTGCCTTTACCAACTGGCAAGTGGATTATTTAACTAAATAAATAAAAGGAAAAATACACAGAAAATATAGATAAGTAGATACAAAAAGTAGATTTCAATTAACTTTCAGGGAAATGGGAAAATAATTAAAACATGTGTTGGACTGATAAAAACCAATGAGCCAACAAAAATCTGGAATGTATTTTAGACGTTTAGTTTGAGTTCTTGTTTTCTTTATTGGTGCATATTAATTATGTAGAATAGTAAGTCTCAATGTGGCATAGTCACACATGCACAGAACAGTTGGATCAATTTCACTTGCCAGCACCTTCCTCTCCCCTCCCCTCCTCTTTCCCATTTCTTCCTTCTACCCTGTCTACCTTCTACTCTCATGACATCTTTTTCCTCCCTCATTCTTCTTTATGTACAGAAATAAAAAAAAATTTTATTAAAATAATTCACTGCATAATTACCAAATTATCAAAAGTAAATAGAAGATATTTATTTTATGTTCTATTTGGAGAAATTTTGATACAAATTAGCAAGTTTTTTACTAATTACTCAGATTAAAGTTTACCCATTACTTAGATTCAAGTTTTAAAAGAACAACTCATTTTTTAAGAATTGTTCTGATGAATTAGCCTCCTTACATCAAAGAAAACATTTGACATTTGTTTTTTTGGGATTGGCTAACTTCACTTAGCATTATCTTCTCTAACTCTATCCATTTACCTGCAAGTAGACGAACTGTAGATAGGGCAGAGGGGTTGGAGGGAAAAGGTGGGGGGCATGGGGTTAGAAATGATGGTGGAATGTGATGATCATTATTATCCAAAGTACCTTTATGAACACACAAATTGGTGTGAATATACATTGTATACAACCAGAGATATGAAAAATTGTGCTCTATATGTGCAATAAGAATGGTAATGCATTCTGCTGTCATATATAAATAATAAATAAATTAATTAATTAAAAAAAAGAATTGTACTGATGCAAAAATTTGCTCCATAGTTTACTTATGGTATAAAGATATAACTAGAAGACAAATTCTATATCTACTTCCATTTCTCAAGCTTGTTAATGGGAGTTAATGAAGCATTTCCAACAACAGCTGCAATTATCCACACAGCAGCATGCCATAAGTTACCAGTGAACAAAACATCCGGGTTCTCCCTTCCTGACCAAACGGTCCCCCTGAACTTTACTACTCTTAAAGTAGTAAAGTATGAGTTGAAGTCAGCCAAGAATAATCTTACATCTTAAAGGTTTTAGTGACAAAAGATGCATAATTTGTGTCCTTTTTTTAAAAAAAAAATCAGGATCAAGGAAAACAATGGATTTTATGAAAAGTCAAAATATGATTTTTTCAGTGATATTTTAATAAAGAGGGAGTTCAAGAACACATGTGTCCAGTGAGAATACCTCCTGCATGTACTGGGAATCTATCAGGGTACAAAGTACATCAGATGGGTCACAGTAGAAGTTCCAGTAAGGAAACTAGACTGACAGCAGAAGCATATGTACTTTGCATTTGTCGAATGAATGGTAACCCACACACCGGCCCAGTAAATGCAATGCTTACCAACATCATTGATGAGATGCAAACAGCTCATTCAAGCTGCTGCTTTGTGGTGTAACCCTCCATCATCTTGGGACTAGGCCACTATCCTGGACAATGCAAGCTGCTAAGGGTCCTGTGGCGTAGGGAACACTAGGGTAGTGTGGAATGCGGTCTCCGACAGGGAGTCCTCTAATTAGTGTCTAACTGAAGCGATGAGGCAACAGCACCCTCGTGTTGAGAAGCGCGTGGTTCAGCTGCCTGACAATATTGACCTGCTCTTTTCTGTGGCTGGTGATGAGATGAGTAGCTATTACTTGTGACAGGAGACTGAGCAGTCATCCGGCCACCCTGACACATATGTTGTGTCACTGTGCCCTGACTCTGCTGTGTCTGCACTAGCAGGTCTCAAGGGTCCCCAGTAGGCCACACAGATCCACCCAGCTCAGAGTTACACATGGCCCACCAGAATGCCCTTCACAGCACTGCACACCCCATTCCTTGACAAGAATCTGGCCATGTGGAAATCGAGAAGAAGAAGAAAAAAAGTGAGGGTTAATTACAGTTTCTTCTGCTTCAGCAGGAAGGCATAATGAGCTTATGTTGATCATGTTTGGTGTCTAGTTAGCATAATAGAGAAAGCTGATGTTCCCAGTGAACCTGGCACCTGACAAATTCTAAAGCCAAAATGATGTTTGTTTATAAGCCATTAGAAGAAAAGAAACATAATTAGAAATCTTTGAGATTACAGTCATGCCAATCAATCAGTTCTAGCTTCTTTCCAGTATGCCCTAATTACCTCATCAAGACGTCTAAAGAGCAATCGATAGTAATTATCTGATTACTATAGATCTTCATTACATCCAAATTATCTCCCTGGGATGTCTAAAAGAAGATGCATTGTATTCTGGGAGGTAATTGTACCCAACAATGTATAATCCACACCCTATCCCTACAATCAACAAAAACTGCCAAAGGATACTAGGGCATCATCGGTTTTCTTGTCAGGGGGACCACTGAAAAAAACTCTTAACTGCCTATTGGCTATGACCTTGAAGTCAAGCAATCTAATACCAACACATTTTAAGTGCAAAGTATGAGTTGAAGTCAGCCAAGAATAAGGCGCATTCCCTGCTTTCTTGAGCCATAACTCAGAAGTCATGGTAAAGGCTTTTCCCTAGTAAAGACAGTCTAGCCTGGCTTGGAGAGCCCTTTTTGGAGAGAACAAACTAAATAAAGTGACAAAGAACCAAATTTAGTGACAGTGGAGCCAGAGAACACACTCTCCATATTCCTAAGCTCTCTCTCTCCCCCTCAACCAGGAGAGACATCAAGTTGCTGCACAGAGCTGGGAGAAGCATGACTTTTCTCTTCCCTTCAGTTGGACATGAACTCTGTGACAGAAAACTGCCCATCTAGCTACCTCTATGCTAAGAGCAGAAGGCTCTAAGCATACTTGCTTGCATACCTCTACCAGTCATAAAATTGACTATGCATTTTATGTTATTTTCTTTATAAATTATAGACCTCTATTAATTCATCAGTTTGTCAATATGTTACATAATAAAATATACAGTTAAAACTATGAGGTAAGGTAAATCAACAGAGAAGTACTAATATTGCCCCTTTTTGCTCTAATGGTTCATGGGCCAGGGTTTGTGAATTGCATTCTGGAGATAGCTCGTGCAGGCAGCTGTCCTCTCACTAGTACCTTGGGAGAAATCAGCCCAGGAGTGAATGATTCAGTAAAAAGAATCTTTACCAAACTTAAATTTAACACATTTTCCTAAAAAGTATCAACGGGTATCATTATATGCAGAATGTTCAACTTGAAGAAAACATCAAATACAGCAGAAGTTGAGAACTAAAGCATTACAGAAATTCAAAGAGAAATGAAAGATACCTCAATCAATAAGTAAAACTCCTTGGAAACTAAACTAACACCATACACGAGTCAGAGTTGACTTATCACATACAGCAAATCCCATGTGTGAGTTTTGTGTTAGGGGATAGAAGCCAGCTACAGGACAGGCTAATCAGGTTTTGGTTCCATATTGCTACAGTATTAAGTATAAAAATTTCAGATATGCTATAGCAGATTCCACTTAAAAAGACACTTTACCCTGTACTTCAAAAAACCCCTGATTTTCTGGATTCTTTCTGCATGAAATCATCTTGGCTAATACTTATGAGGTACAGATACGCAAGAGGACATAAAAAATGGCAGACACAAAAATCAATAAACTGTGGCTTTACAGTTAAATGTGTTCCTTTCTTTTATCTTCCTGGGAATGTTCATTTAACATCAATGAGAGGTGCAAGGCCTGGTAGGAGCCATGTTAGGGTCTAGAGCATGCAGGCAAGGGAGTCTCAGTCCAGCCTCCACTGGCTCCTGGTCCTTGGGGGAGACCGACATGTGTATACCTAAACACACTGTCATGTGCTCAGCTCTAAAGCAGCTCCTAGACACACTGATTCTGGATCACAAAGGTTAGTCTATTCCCTACACCTTTGGGGAGAACAAGTACCAAATATATTTAAGGTCAAAAAATTTAGGAAGACTTAAGAAAAATATTATGACCTTGAAAAGAAATGCCATCTAGGCTCTGCTTTTAGAAATATAAATATCACCTTCTTCTGTAGGAGTTGTCTTTCCAACTGGTAGCATCCCTCACCCCAGGTGCTGGGTCAGACTGAGGGCAATCCACTATTGCTCTGCTGAGCTTGCTATGCTAAATGAGAAGGAAATCCTTGCATGGTTCTATCTCCATCCCTCTCCCTTTACCTTGAAAAGGCACTCGCAGAGTCAGTTATTCACAGAGGTGCCCCTAGCCCACCCTCCATGACAACATGCATGTCTACACCTGGGAACCCCAGCGGGAGTGCCACCAGGAGTCTGGTGTTTCTAGGGATCCAAGCAATCCTGTGGGATGGCACAGTGTAGTGGCAGCTTCCAGCATGAGCCTGAGTGAGGGCTGAATAGATTCCAGAAGCTGTGAGGGATTGCTCCAAAGGCGGCAACAGGGGATTCCACGGTAGAAACAAGCAGCTTGCACAATAACCAATTAAACCAAGACATTATCCAGGCCGAGCCATTAGCCTGGGCCACTTAAGAGCCCTAATAAATTCAAGCTGTTTTAAAGGCCTGTGCATGAAAAGGGAGTAGCTCTGGCCTGTGCCCAGAATGCTCCCGGCTCCTACATGATAGGA